TCCTCACGTTCTCTAGAACACATAAAAAGAGAAAAATACTTCCACCTTCTCCCAACATCTTAAAGAACATAACCACACACCTCAATATCCCAGAAGACGTTTTACTATTATACAACATCCCCCAAAAAAAACTTCCTTAAATTAGATTTATATGAAGACCTTGAAATTTTACAAGAAAAACTAAAAAAGCCCAAAATTGTGTCAATCGTCATGTATCCTTCACCTCTAATTTACCCCTCAACCTAAAAATCCACATTTATCATGAAATTTCAGTCCATTCCGAATGAGATGATGATGAAGATGATGACATACCGTCTCATGGACTAGCAACTTCAACGTGGAGTCATATGTCGCCATGTTACCTAATCCATCGGTAACTCTATCATCTTAATATTATTATAACATATTTTTAAAACTAAATGTATATTAAACATCTGTTAACGGGTTTTTACCCATATATTTAATCTTGGTGGCTACATTCATGTACTCCTAGTAAGTATTTAACCACATTATTCATTAACCTTAGTCAAAATTTTAACCTATGTTCTTTTAATTAAGTGGTTAAACTATTTTCTAGGACACTGATGATGGAACATGGATTTCCGAAAACTTTATGTCTTTTTAACTTAGCCCATTTGGGCCTTAAGTATATACCTTATACAAAGGATTTTTAATTAAAAATTTTTTAATACATGGTTATACACCAACTACAGGAACGTAGATTTCCTTGTAATTTCTCTCGCATTAGTGGTTCAATTACAACCATTCCCCATTTCCAATGGGGATTTGCTAGAAAAAATAGTACCATTACATTTATACCACTTGCATCAAGCATGTTAAAAAAATTGTTAGTGAGCATCGTCTGGATCCAAGTAATCTGGTAACATTAATAACTGGTTCATGATCTATTTCACTATCATTTTCATCACTCTCGGTATTGGACTTTTGTTCTTCGAGATAATCCTCCTCAGATTCGGAATCGGTACCAAAGATATTTTGACCATCATCCTCGTTGTTTTCATTAGCAAATAAATTTTCAGTTTTCCTTTTCACTTCAGCTTGGATCAACCGACAACGTTTTTCCCAGTTTTCTTTCCAACTACATGAAGCTATTCCCAAAAAATCATTAAAAAAATTAATAAATGATCGTAAACCTCACACATGTGTGCTACGTACCCTAACGTTTATTCAATAAATTTTCGTGATTGGAAATATGGCTCGAATGAGACCGCAACCACATATCCGTCCTTGGCAGACTACAGACTGAATTTACATGAAGCAGCATTACCATTAAAATTCGGTTGAGCATGCTACATTCAGTTAAGTGTCTGGATGGGTATCTCACACCCAAGTGTCAGCTTCCAGGGTTAAAGTTATTAATAAGTATAGCTTTTCTTTTTAAAAATAATGTATCTTTAATATCTTTTATCACAAATAGAGGTAACTTAACGAACAAAAAATTAAATGCAAATTTATGCCACATATGTGGCATATGTGGTGCACTCTATCATATACATCAAAGGTGTATATTAAATTATTTATTTGTTATGTTTAAAAGTACCCAGTTGTAAATTTTTATACATAAATATTTACAAAACATTATAGCGAAAAATAAATTTTATAATTTGCACTTTCAACACCCTGTTATCTTTTTTAATGTCAACTCTTTTTTTTATTTAGAAATTACAGCCGCATCCACCATAATGGTTATTAGCGGCGGCTACAGAATTACAAAATTAGAGTTTATAAAATAGTCCTATAGATTTTAAGAAACTTTACAATATTACTAGCTGAGAAATTAGTGCCTAATAAATTACTTAAACTCTTAGGTATGTTAAATGTAACACGAAAATGGCAAATCTATGGCATTCAATTAATAAATGGTTAACGGTTAATTGTACATTACATGTTTCGCAAATAGGTGGATCACTTTTGGTAAATAAGTATGAGTGAGTAATCTCTCCTGTGGTCCAATTCGTAATCTCATTATCACCAATTGTTCTCTTCTGTTCCTTGTTGAGGGTTCCCAAGCTGCAACGTCATTTTTAACTTACTTCAGTGATGTTTGAGAAGATTGCTCATTCGTTTTTCCACTTGCACAAAACTCGATTCTTTATATCACTCGCGGCTTTTTATATCACTCGCGGTATTTCGATACTCGGCTTTTTCTATATTGGCACATTTAGCAATTTTCACTCGCGCACTGGGTCCGCACTTTCGTTGCCAGCAATGCCTAATGTGGGATGGAATCCATATAAATCTGATACTCCTAGAATTTTCTTGAGCTTGCATAAGTTCTAGTTTTATCAGTTTCTCAAGGGGACCTTTAGGATAGATCTGTTTAAGGGTTTGAAGGGCGCTTAGTGAGTCACTTAAGATAACAGAGTTAGAAAATGTTACTAGAATTTATATGTATCTCTTCTTCATGTACCATGTCCTTTCAGAACGTTGGTTACAATCATAGCTATTTTTAATTTTATTCACTGCCACCCTAAATAGCATGCTTGTATCTACACCATACCAGTCTCGCAAGTTCTTCAACCATGAGGTTCTTCTTCGTCCTGGACTGCGTTTGCCTGCTATTTTTCCTTGCATGATGTTTTGTAGCAATCTATATTGGGACCTCTCATTACATGTCCGAAATATTCAGCTTTCTCAGCTTGATGCTTTTATGATCTCAGTTAGTCTTGCTGAGACGTTCTAGTATTGTGGAGTTACGAATCTTCTCCACCCAGGAAACTTTTAAAATTCTTCTATAGCACCACTTTTCGAAAGCCTCAAGGCGATTTAGATCGATTTAATCACCAGTCCAGGACTCGGACAGCATAAAGTAAGACCGAGAACACGTAGCAGCGAAGTAGGCGGATCCTTAATGCCAATTTTAGGTCTCTGTTACATAACAACTTGGACATCCTTTCTAAAAGCAGCTCTAGCCTGCTCTATATCTGGATCTAATTTCGCCGTAATTTTCTGCATTACAATTTAATTGCTGTCCAAGGTAGACGATTTTATCAACTTGCTCAAGTTTGATATTATTTACATATATAGACGGTTTTATTATTCTGTTGTTTACTTATTACGAGTATTTTGGTTTTCCTTATGTTAAGATCCAGACCTGCCTCCCTACAACTCTCAACGACACTATCAAGTAGTGTTTGCAGATCTTCTTGACTAGAAGCTAGGAGTACTGTATCGTCCGCATATCGCAAGATTATTGATGACTTATGCCGTTCACAAGTATTCCTTCTTGTTTTTCAGAAAGTGCTTTTCTGAAAATTCTTTCGGAGTAAACGTTAAAAAAGCAGGGGTGACAAGAGGCATCCCTGCCGTACTCCTCTTTTAATATTGAGAGCTTGTGATTCCACACCATCTACTAAAACTGATGTTGTTTGATTCCAATATACAAATTTGCAATTATTTTGAACATCTCTGCCGTCCAAGCCAATTGTCTGTCTTTTAGAGCTTCGATCAATATAGAGTGCTTAACACGATCAAATGCCTTTTGAAAGTCAATAAACAACAGTATATGTCTACAGATATATCACGACATCTCTGAGCAAGTATGTTCATTCCAAACAGTGCCTCTCTCGTTCCAAATCCGTTACGGAAACCAAACTGAGTGTCATTCAGGTATTCCTCACATTATTGTAGATACGACCATGTATTACCTTCAGAAAAATTTTCAATAAGTGGTTTAACAAACTGATGGTTCTATAATCAGCACAGGTTTTTGCTGTTGTTCTTCTTAGGTAGAGCTATAAACAGTGAGTTAGACCAACCATTAGGTAGTTGTCCGCTGTATAAATGGTATTGAAAAACGAAGTTATAGCTTCTAAAACATTGCTATCCTAAAACATTGCTATATTTATATGTATGATAGCTTGATAAACACTGCATAGAGTTCAGCGGAGAAAATCGTAAAAGAAGGTTGGGAGACGAAATTGATATGTATCGTTTGGAGTAACGAATGCAGCATCTACTCGTTTATCACCACTTAGATGCATCTGTAAAATGATTTTATAGCAATGTTCGTAATGGCTGACGGAGAATTAGAATCTAGATTATTCTTAATCTCTGCGTGGCAGTTGATATGTTTTGTCGTATTGGGTTAAACCAGTGTTTATAATTATCCAAGGAGAGCGGGCTTTTGATATGTGATTGGACAGGTTTATTGGAATTGAGACATCTCAGGTAACATCGTACTCGTTCATAGTAAGGACTTATGTTTGGTTCTATCGGTAAAGAGATTTATATATTTATTAGTGAACGTATTTTTGAATAGAGGTTTGTTTACATTTGAGGCTATTGACGTTGCGTGTGATAGTGTTAAGGAAAATCGGCGGTGATTATAATGAAGGCTCCTCACAGAACAAGAGCTTCAATTGTTACTATTGACAAGAAAAAAAATTTGTAACCAAAGATTTTTTGACAAGTGTCATAACACCACCTGAAAGAGAAATTATTTGGCAATTTGGCTTAAATCATAATATTTTAAAGTGTACAATCTACTGTTTATTTTTGTACATACTTAAGGGCCACACTGTATATTATGTAATAATGTTCTGTATCTTGAGTATATCTGGTTGTTAGCCAATGCTTCCCGATGGCCCATAATTTCTCACTATCAAAGGCTTTTTCATAATGTATAAAGGCTTAACAGGAAGTAAGATTATTATATTTTTCAGTAGAATTTTTAGTGTGCAAGGTCACACGGGTCAAAAGTTTTCTACCCCTTTGTAAATCCATTCTGTTTTAATGTTTGCTATTCATCAAATTTCTGTTTAAGCCTGTTGGTACTGACTTTAATTTTTCGGCCTGTAACCTTATTAATACCAAAATAATATGTATAGTATCCTCATAAAAGTATCTGGATTATTAACAAGAGATAAAAGCCTGCTCTGAACTAAGAGTCGATGTACTAATTTTTTCGCATTACCATCCTATCTGATTTCAGATGACCTTACGATTTGCGCGATAGGTGTTAATTTTAAATTAAAGGTATGTCGTCGAAAAATCAGAATTACATAAGAGTACGGTATTATAACAATCACATGCTGCAAGTGCGACCGGTTCCTCTTAAGGTAATGAAATTTTTATAAGTTGAAATGAAACGAGCTCTGCAATATACATGGGCGGCGACAAAATAAGCACATTCTTCACAATTTTACACATGTTTGACCTCATACGGAGAGACTGCTTAAATGTCGTTTTCAATATAAGAAGAAAGTGAATTCAATTTACTTATGATTGCATGCAGAGCTGATGTCACCATGTTTTTAGATGCCATAATAATAATTTTTGTTTTCAAACAATTTAATCCTCAGCTACCAATTGCTATCTTTTGACTGAAAGTTATCCTACAGTATCTTTTTCTACAGTATTTATTTATTAAAGAATAGTAATAGTTCAACAATTAGCAAGTAATAGTTAGTTTGTGTATTAAACAATTTTAGTGCCAATAATATTAAAATAATTAAAGTACTAATGTCAAACCCTACTTAACAAAGTTCTGGAAACTTTAACTATGGGACAAAACAAAAGCAGCATAAATAAAAAGTAATTACTAAACAACCCAAAAATTTTAATACCATTAACCCTTTGACGCCGGAATTATTTTTTTTTAACTTATAACAACTTTTTTGGTTTTTTATATAAAATCATTATTTTTAATAACATATGTATTATATTTTTTATTTTTTTATCAGCTAACAAGGCTATAGACCGTGTCATAAGTATTAGGACACTAGGACACTATATATTTTCAAAAGTAGAGCTTTATTTTGAATGGTATAAAGCGAAACAATTTTTTTTGTCGTTAAGGTACAGTCCTACATTACATGTTGAACAGCTCTAGGAATACTTGTGTGGTTCTTTTAGAGCGCTGCAAAGGGCACATTCTCCTTGGTTTCATGTAAATTGGCATATGTGCACATTTATCAAATCGGACTTCTAAGGGTACCATGCGCTTGACGTGGTTTACTTCAGTATCATTAGCTCTTTTGTGTCCCCTTCTTGATTCGTCAGGTTGGGTGCCAATAAGTCCGTTTATGACTGCTAACCTAAACATCTTCAACGTAAGCGATTGTCCGTCGGATCTAATATTTGAAAATAATAAAGGCCTTTGCTAGCGACACGTCCAAAAAATACCAAAAGATACGGTACCACCATTACTTCGATTTTCTATCAACTTCATAAATTGACTTTAGCATATGCATTTTGTCAACAAAAACCATGTTAGCATTATAGTCCTTGACTGGTATTGGACAAAAAAATGTCCTCCATAGTACCATCTTTTCTTTTTCTAGACACTGTTCCAATATGTTAGGGATTATGTTAATTCACAGGCGGGCATGATTTTTGGTGTTTTGAGTTTGACATGTGTCCTTAGCTAATACCGATGCGCTGATCCTGAATGCGTATTTGATTTAAGCCCATCACGTCAAATTTTGGGATAAGAAATTTGAAGAAGTTAACAATTATATCGGAGAAAGGAAATGCTCGGAGATATGGAAATTTATATCAAATGTCAAAAACCCAGCAAAGGATAGAGCAAATATCCAGGTAATCAACCGGAGCAGTGGATACAACACTACAAAGGTCTACTACAAGAAACTAGACAGAAATACGTGATAGAATATCCAAAACATTTTGTAGTAAATGGAGAAGTAGAGGTTTCCGAAGAAACAGTAAAAAAGACAGTTTTGAACCTTAAGTTAGGGAAAGCTAGCGGAGCAGAGAGGATTTTCTCGAAATGTTAAAATGGGGAACGGAAAAAAAATCTAACAATAATTATTTAAACTGGACTGTAACAACTATCGAGGCATATCCATCACAAGTACACTGAGCCGACTATACAGCAGAATACTGCGAGATCTAATTGAAGAAGACTATAAAGAGAAAGAAGAAGAAGATCAAAGCGGCTTTAGAGCAGGTAGATCGTGTACCGACAACGTATTTTGTCTAAAACAAGTCATAGAGAAAAGATCTGCGAGACATCTGAAACCCAGCTTACATTTGTGGACCTACAAAAAGCATATGATGCATTCCCAGTATCGAGACTGTGGAAGGTATTGGAACAAACGAACATCAATCACAACTATATAGCTGCACTTAAAGAACTGTATTAAAATTCACAATCAAGAATTAAGATAGGTAAAAAACTCACAGATGCCTTCCTAGTGAATAAGGGACTACGTCAGGGATGTCCTATCTCTCCTACACTATTCAAAATAAATGTAGCAGCGGCACTTAAGAACTGGAAAAGGAAAATACACGGAATGGGTATAGAGATAGATGACAGATTACCTGTTTACTCTTTAGTTTGCAGATGATCAGGTCCTAGTGGCCAATGACAAAGATTACATGCAATATATGATTAGAAAGCTGATAGAAGAGTATGAGGAATGGGGCTTGACAGTTAACGTAAATAAAACGAAATATCTATGTGTAGGCTTTCAGAGCGAAAATTTGGAGTTGGACAAGGGTCAAGAAATTCTGCAATGTCAAGATTATGAATATTTAGGTATCACATTCGACAATACCGAAACAGATGTGAAAAAGATAGAAAAACGAATAGTGGAACAGCTAAAAAGATAATAGGATGTCTGAATGCCATCTTATGGAGCAAGGAGATAACAAAAAGCAGGAAATTTAATATATACGAGACAATGGTTAAGGGCAGCCTATTGTATGGAGCGGAAACATGGAGAATTCCAGACAGACAAAAAAAAAGGTAGAGGCAGTCGAAATGGACGCGATAAGAAGATCTATGCGAATCTCACCAAGAGAAAGAATGAGGAATGACCATATAAAACAACGAATGGGAATAGAAGGTACGATAATTCAGGATATCAAAAAGAAACAACTTACCTGGTACGGACACGTAGAGCGAATGCAAAATACTAGACGGCCCAAAAAAATTCTGAACTAGACCCCAATAGGGAATAGAAAGCGAGGAAGACCCAAACTAGAGTGGCAGCAAAACATAAAAAAGTCAATGAGCGAACGAAATCTATCAACGGAAGATTGCCACGATAGAAGAGGATGGAAGTTAGGTGTCGGACAACGGAGAAGGACGTTCTAAACCGGCATATATACATACGTCAAAATTTTTCACAAAGTAAAAAAATCATATGAGATATTATGTACTAGCAAAAACAAATACCTTATTGATATTTCGTAAACTGCATTAAAATTATTTCTTTAAAATTCTTGATAGATCGATAGAAAATATTTTAGTACATTATTATGTTAATTTCTTTTGAATGAGACCTTGTAATGTAATCTTGTGAGATACTATATACTAGCCCAAACAAGTACCTTATTGGTGCTTGTAAAGTTTTGTGATCAGGACAAACATTGGGCTCCACATAAAGTGTGCGATGTCAGTGTTTCGAACTACTGAGAAAATGGACAAAAGATACACGTAACTCTTTACCCTTCGGCATTCCTGTGGTATGGAGGAAACCAAAAAACCATGACGACTGCTACTTTTGCTCCTGAGATATCAAATGTTTACATTTAAAAAATTCACATAAAATTAAATATCCTGATTTACTTTCTGCTAAACGACCTGTATCACATAAACCAGGAATCCTATTCCTCCAACTTTTCTTCACACTATCCAACAGCAATTATCAGATGAAAGTTCAGACGAAAAACCGATGAAGATGAATTCAATCCTGAGATCAACCTCAAAGCTGAACTAAATGACTTAGTGATAGACTTGAGCCTATCGAAGGATGCTGCACAAATCTTAGTATCACGACTGAAAGATAAAATCTATTGTCTCTAGGTACCACATTTTCTTGGTATAGGCGCCGTGAAAAAGAGTTCGCGGAATATTTTTCTCAAGAGGGCTCATGGATTTATTGTCATAATATTTCTAAAGTAATCATGAAACTGAGAGCTGACAATTACGATTCCACATTATGGCGGTTATTTAATGACTCTTCTAAGAGAAGTCTGAAGAATGTCATTGTTGCACAATGGTAATACTTGTGCCTCAGTGCCTGTTGCTCACTCAGTGAATCTGAAAGAAAGTATAGCGAATATTGTTGGCAATTCTGTGAAGATCTCAAAATAATATTCATGCTTTTGGGTCAGCAGTCTGGATTCACATAGTATCCATTTTTTTTTATACGAGTGGGACACTCGGGCACGAAATTTACATTACGTTAAGAAAGAGTGACCACTCAGAGAAAGACTAGTACCAGGACAAAAAATGTGCAACGTGATACACTAGTTGACCTAAAATTAGTTCTTTTGCTTTGTCTTCACATAAAGTTAGGATTATTGAAGCAGTTTGTTAAAGCTTTAGATAAACAATGTTTTAATATCTGTGCTACAAATGTCCTGCCCTTTCTGAAGCTTAAACTTAAAGAACGAATTTTTGTAGGCTCTCAAATTCGAACCTGAGAAGTGGACAGATTGGTTCAGAATACAATGACCCAGGATGAATCTGAAGCATAATGTTCTTTCGTAGAACTCATAGCAGTTTCCTTGGAAACAACAAGTCTCCATACTATAAAGAAATTATAGCTAACATGGTCGGTAATTGTAAAAAACTGGGATGTAATATGGGCGTCAAACTTCATTTTTTAGATTAGAACGTTGACTACTTTCTCGAAAATCTTAAAACTCTCAGCGAGCAGCTGGAAGAAAGGTTCCATTAAGATATAAAGGAGATGAAAAGATCTTTACCAAGGAAGATAGGATATAAGAATGATGGCTGATTACTGCTGGACCTTGAAAAGAGACTCTATCACAAAAATCCATAAAAAGAAGCCAACAAAATGCAGTTTTCATGGGAAAAAAAACAACAAATATTGTCTAACGTAGGTTATACTGAATTCTTTTTTTTTAACAACTCAATTATGCAGTGTAATTTTATATTGAATAAGGTTTTAATAAATATTTTCTCAGTATTTTTGGCAGTTTCTATGAAAAATTTCAAACACACTTTTCTTGAAAACCTGACATGCTGGAAAAAAGTAAGTACAGGTTCGTGATCAGCACATCTCATTAACACCTATTCAACTCAAACAAATATTTGCTAACTCGTCAAGTTGACTCTCCAATC